GTCTATCAGATGTTTTATTTATTTATATCAGGGGTGTGGGATAGACTTACCTCCACGTGGTGCACCCTGGGCAACGTATACTCAGGCGGCAAAAAGTCTATAAACCGGCAGTTGACTTCTGACTTCAAACTGCCATCATCCCACTGTATGTCATATTCGATTACTTCCACAGTACTCACCTCACCTTTTTTCTATCTTTGTGTCTGTTTCTTTTACATTTTTGAAACACTCTTCTGTCCCCTCCCCCCTCCTCTCGACTTTTTTCCCTTTGACGTTCCTTCCTCTCTGTGAAGCCTGAAGTCAACTAAATCGCTAATGATAACTATCAAAACGCCTGCCATTTGATATAAATCAAATGGTAGGCTTTCTGATAGTTATCACTAGTCCATTAGTTGATTTGGGGCTTCACAAAATAAAGGAACATAAATCACAAGAAGTCTAGAGGGGGAACAGAAAAGTGATTCACAGATGAAAGGAAGTCGGAAGTTGACTGCCGGATTATAAGTGTTTTTGCAGTATGAGTATACATTGCCCAGCGGGACATGTGGAGGAAAGTCTATCGCACACCCCATCTAACAGATACAAATCACTCGACGTGATGAATATCCATTTTCAAACAAACCCAGTTAATTAAACTCGAAATGTTTCCGTAATTACTGCTCTAATAGACAAGACAGTCGTATCAACCGCCTTAACGACTGGAAATTTCTTAAGAAATCAAAGCAAAGTATGTTTCTCCCACACAGTTGGAGATTTTCGACTGTAAATTCATAGATGTTGTTTTCCATTATCTCAAATGCAAAGTGGTCTAAGTGGATTACTATAGCAGGAGGAATCGACTCTATGAAGAGCACAACGCCCTCATGAACATGCTGGAACAGGAGGCGCGCTCCTGATCCCTTGGCCATCAAGTGCGGTCGTACCGCTGATCGCTTTAGGGAGCATGTGCGGTCGTTAGCGCAGAGACCTCCAAGCCAATCAACAATCAATCGTCACTGCATAAACAGCTTAGACAATATTGCATTTCAATGACTAAGTTGTGTCAAAGGTACACAGCCACGACAAGCCTTAGTTCTCGATATAGCTGAGGTAAATTAGTTAAGTTCGGGAACAATTTCATATAGGGAAATTTCCCATAGGGATTGCCGAAGTTTAACCAAGGCTTGCTTGTGTAGCATTCCGCACAACTTTAATTATTAGAGCGTAAATCCCCATGGAAAAGTCGAGGCGTTCATTGCCAAGACGCCCATTTCTGATCATCCGAACACGATTGTTACATATCTATTGGAACAACGTAGTTTTACCCCGTTATCAGATTCTAGGAAATAATAAATTCTATATTAGAGATGGGGACAGGACTGCAGAAGTGTATCGAGGTGCTAAGCTAGATTAGAAGTAGCCATAACACAAATATTGACGAATTATATTGTATCTTTCCCCTCTTTTTGAGATACAGTTTAAGGAAGGTATTGGAACAATATTTTAACAAATTCCTCTTCTCTGTTAGCATGTCTTATTCGTGAGAAGAATGAAACTTGATTCACTTCGTCGGTGAACTCAATAACAATTTGTCCCGATGATTCGTCCAGTCATGTTGCGTATTTTACGCATTTGGCGAACGAGTTCATTTTGCATTATCAATTATAAGCTAAACCCTGTTAGATTTTCAAAGCCAACTCGTGATACAAAAATGAATTTAATCACTCGATCAAAGTTCAAGATGAGAAATAATGTGTGTTGTGCTTCAAGGTAAATCCGTGGAGTACATAACCATAAGAAGGGTGTGGCCAAGAGAATCTCATGAGTGTTTGAACATACTGGAAGGTGCTACTGATCGCGTAGCGAGCGTGTGCAGTTGCGCATAGAAACATCTCAACCAATCAACAATCAATAGTCGTTGCCACGTAAAGTAGCACTATTCACACTTATAATATCTAAGCTCTATGACAGTTAACCTTGTATGGTATGAACAACGCTCAATGGGTAAGTTCCACCTTGTGATTAGTAGAAAGTAAACGTAAAACAAGATATGATTCTGTTACTGGACCAAAGTCTTAAAATCCGCACTCACTTCTGCAATCAACACAATATCAATAAAACCATACATATTCCCTTCGAACCCTGAAGTGGAATATGAGAAATGTAATTTCAACCCCATTGTTGGGCCTGGCTGTTATCCCATAAATGCGTCTTTAGCGAAAACATTGTTAAAATTAAGAGGATTACGAAACAGCCACAATGTATCGGCTGATTCGGAGAAGTAAGCAATTGATTCATAAAAGTAGAAACCAGATGTCTATTTTTTAATGGAATACATTCCCTAGGCTTATAATATTTTACAGTTTTCAACGATAAATCGGTTAAAAATTGAAGTAGAAGAAGCTTGACTATTCAAATAGAGCTAAACCATGTTAGCTATATATCTCATTAACAATTACAACTGAAAATCAGTTACCAAATCAATGTCGATTTCCAATCAGAACCAAAAGTATGCGTAGCAAGATCCATGACTATTATTCTTTATTCGGTTGAAAAAAGAAATAATCAAGTTTATCCAACATATGAGGCTCAAAACTACAACCGAACTATTAGAAGTACTTGTATTCGAAAAGGTCAAACAACGATGAGTCGTGAATTATGTAGATGCAAGAAAATGTCTACAGAATTAAAAGTACAAAGTAATGCGAAAACCTCCTAGAATAAATACACAGTTTTAGCCCAAATTAGGATTCAAATTAAACTACTGATTTCAGTTTTTGATTTCAGATGCCTACTAACTAGTCTAAAAAAATCACGAGAAAGCCACTTATGAGTTGACATCATATTTAGAAAGCAAAAAACTAAGAAAACTGCGCAAATTATATGCAGAGGGCGGGTATAAGCAGGGATAAAACACATAAATGACCTGCACTTGATCATGCGCATGCGCGGCATCCACATCAATCGATAACGTACGTACGTTATGGCGCTTTGAAGGAGGGTATGATTCACTCACCTACCCCTTCCTTCCTTTCGTTGGCCCGGCCCTAATAACATCTGCAGAGCCCAATCTCGCGGACAGGGGAAACGGGGTAGAGCACACATAAACCGCCAATCCATTAGGATTATCAACATGACGAAATAATCAGCTATGATTTTACGCTCACAGTATTTTACACTAAATTGAACGCTAAACCATGAGTATTAGAAACCCAGTAGCTAGTATAGAGTGCAAAGTAAAAGGCCCAGGTTCATGAAAAAGGTATGAAATACATGTTCAAACAACTGTAACAAGATTGCATTCTTGGAAATTCATAAATCTACCTTCATTCTACGGTAAGATTTAAATTTTTCTACAAGGCTATAAACAAAGAAGCCCAATAAAGGGAAACTTAAAAGTCGAATATAAAATTGAAGCTGTATAAATAGCTTTTAATAAGTCCGCAGGGTGGTTTACAACAGGAAGAGCATGATGAAATATAGTGCTACCGCATGTCCACTTGTAAACACAAAATGAAATAAACAGGCCCTGTCCAACTAAGAGACCTTGCATTGTATCCAACAGTAAAAATGTTGAGCCAGAAGCCGAGAATTTGGCCATTCACCAGGCCCAAAGATATCTGAAGATAAGCATTAAACAAGTTGAAGATGAGAAAAAAAATAACTGCTAAAAAATCAAAACATCGAAAATTAAATCAAGCATAAAAGAGAAGTTTAGAAAGTTAAAACAAGAATGAAGAAACAATTTAGAGATTTTTGAATGTACTTTACGTTTTTCCATAAAAATCTTTAAATGAATCCACTTAGAATACAAATGTAAATCGTTCGCTTATATTATTTTTGGGGTTAAAAGAGCAGACATTTGACTAAGCGCGAAAATCCTTCAAGGAAACGTATTTCACATACCGGGCAAACTAAAATAACAATATGCACGATATATTTCCTTAAAAGAAAACAAAAGCAACGTAAACTGGGCTAAAGGTAGTTTTAAGCATACGTTAGATAGTCGCATATCGACATTTGCGAAGGCCCACTTGATGAGGAAGGTTTACCCCACATAGCATTTTGTGCTCAAAAATTAAATAAAGTAGGTAGAATAAAGAGCATGGAAACATAACCTACCCGTTTGTCAAACTAGAAAAAGTAAAATAGCGCCACGGTAACAACCGACCGTTCAAAGTATCATAACTCCTAGGAAAGGGCCCGGGCGCCCTTTCTTTAACCTTGTAGCTTGATTAAATAAAACAAACAGAGTTTAACCATGAAGCATTTTATTATTTTTAATTAATTTATGCCTTATTTGGTTAAAAGTAATTTTTATGATGAAAATTATTAATATATCTAAAAATTATATTTTAATGTTTTCTACCAATGAAATCGCTGGAAGCTCGGAAATGATTGGTTACTACAACTTATTTAGTTGCGCAAAAATTTGATTCCCTCCTCGTATCATACTAGTGGCCTTCCTTAGTAATGATTGAAACTGAAAGACTTCCCATATCAACTAATGTACCTTCATCCGCGCATCCTTCGGCATTTTCAAACGGCTACCAATGTATTTCGCGAAATCCATATTTAAGAAGTGACAATTCATCCGTTTTCACGGGACATCCTTATTATTCGTCGGTGTTTCCTCAGCAGACTTATTTTTCGGTATGCCGATGTTCACCATTTTATTTCCTTAGACCCATCGAAATTTTGCTCTATCGAATATTCTACCTCTGGAAAACCAATTCAATGCAAACATTTCTGGCCTTCTGTCTGTTAATCCGGTATGTTCTTTGTTCATCTTTGACGTCGGTAGATTAAGGATGATAGAGCAGATGCCTCTATGAGAGATGAATCCTTGAGGAGGCTTCTTTCGCTCCATCGAGCCTATTATGATCTCTCCTCCCTTACATTCTGCAAGGCAGTCTACTTGGTCGACGTCTTTATTACCCGTGTCAAAGTCAAGCCAAGGTATATGATGATACTTACTATGGCTTGCTACTATATTGCATCTAAGTTCGATTCAATTAAAGTAAGTACCTTTACTGGTTTACTTATAAGTCCTTGACGTCGAATTTATTTTAATTTTTCTTTTTTTAGCAAATGCCTCCGACTCTGGAGAGTCTCGTTAGAATGGCTGACTGTGGTGGCTCATCTGATGATTTGCTCAAAATGGTCCAGATAGTCTTGACCAAGCTTGGAACTAACGTGATTGCTGCCATTGGTTCGTCCTCTGCTACTGCTCTTGACTTCCTCTCAGCGTTACTCGCTGACGCGAACAAAGGAGTTCAGGATGTTGTGCTTCCTACTTTTCTTCTCCGTGAGGTAGAGAATGCGCTCTGCTCTACAAAATCTGCCCAATTCCGCCCTGCCTGCTTGGCACTGGCTCTACTCGTGTCCTACAAGCAGGTCTGTCCCCCACCCTGTGTCAATGATTCTGAGTCTCCAACTTTTAAAATTCTTGAAACGTTGGAGTTCGCTGATTTGCGTCCTATCGCCGACTTCTGCAATGTAAATTAACACTTCATAAATTTTGTCTTCTTCTTTCTTGTTTCGGACAATATGATATCCCCTTTACAGATTAGTTGGGATGAGGTTGAGGCTTGTTCTCGGACTCTCTACGAGGGCGGAGTTCTTGAGAGTTACTCGCCGGCTAAGTCTTCAGTGCCTTTGTCAAGAGTAATGTGGAGCCTAGCCAAACGCAAACGTCTCAACGTCTCAATCTCTGTTCCTCCTAAGTTGAAGACCATTTGTGAAAATGGCGAGGCTGAGATGGAGGAGTAGATGTGGTGCGTTAACTTGGTTATGCTATTATTTGTTCCGTTGGCCCGTTTAGTTAAATTGGGAATCCTTGGTTCTTTAGACGGCTGAGTTTGCTGATACCTGGCTCCCGTTATCTCAATGTAGTTCCCTTTCAACTCTCAAACTTTTTGCCCTTTGTTCTGATTCTCTGGTCCTTTCAGCGAAGATAAAACAGGAAAATTACAAGGCAGCTACCGTAAGCGCAAGGTAGTCGATGGCTCACTACTCTCAGTATGTATGAGATGTCGCTGTCCTTGACAAAAAACGTGATTGTACAGGACTTTTGTAGTATCCTATCAGTTATTTTGCTATTCTCATGTATATTTCTGCACCCTTCAACGTTCCGTCATGTTTTCATCTCGTTCCCATATCGACGACTTCTTCCAAATCTTATTTATTTTGAAAAAAAAGAAAAAGAATCCCGGCCAGTGTCGGTTTTTTTTGCTTTAGCATGGGCACCTAAAGGTGTCTAGCTCTTTCCTTCCTTCCCCACCTCCCTTGTCTCTACAACCCTCTTTGTTGTTACACTCGGGAGTCGGGTACCACTATGCTGTCAATCTGCATTTATCTTAGACTTTTATTTAACGTAAATTGTTACTACTTCTGTATTTCAAAAAAAAGCGAACATCCAAAAAATGTCTTTCATTAAGTGCAATAGAGCATGATACTTCAAGTCCCGTCTTACTTTTTGCAATGGGGATTTTTGGAGGAAGACCAAGATTGCTCCTGGCCGATTTTATTTTTTCCCCAAACTAGTTAACGAGTGGTTTCTAAGCTCATCCTAGGAGGCCTTAAGTTGCTGTGCTTACCGGTTCTCTCTTCTCACCTGAAACATCTATGATATTGAGTCCCTTTGTAGGGATTTTATATTTAGAATTGGACTAGAAATATGCATCGACTTACGGGTATTTCGTCATTAATTTTTGGCCAAAATTAAGCACAGGTCGTCTGCTAGCGTCGATAACTAAATCCAGTGTGGGGTCTATGATGAAAATTGTACCATCTAAGAGTGTCGTTATAACTTAAGTACGGCTTCCAATTAGGCTTTATTCTGATCAGTTAATTTGAATCATTTAGTATGTTAATTCTGTAGGTGATTAATCGGTTTCGAATTTACCTATTTAAAGCACTGATCGGAGCCTAGGTAATTTTTGATTAGGCCATAAATAAATTATGTGTCAATTGGGTTCAAAAGCAGCACTTGAAGCTAATAAAGCAGTTGTAATGTCAGTATTGATCCAAAATGTCGTCTAATTAGATTCACCTGAGCGTTACCTTATTCCTTAAGCTTGGCCTAATTGTCCCATTAAATTCATTCGAATAAATAATGAGCTTTGTGGTTATTCGGTACAAGGAAAGAATAAGGCGAAGTGACAGATTGGAACGGCTTTCCAGTTCTATGACTTAATCTACTAGGTTTTCCTTCTTCATTTCTTTCTGATCAAAGGTCCAAGAGTCGAACTTAGTTTATTACAACCACAGCCATTATTATTGGATATTACACTTATTGTTTTATTAAGAATTAACTATTTGAAAACCCTTCAACTTTTCGATTAAACTGAAATAAAAATATATTCACTCAAAACTCGGTTGCCTATCAATTACCATTTAGTGATCGTAACATTCTAGAAATAAAAGATAATAAATTGAGATCTCTCTACAACGTTCGAGTAAATTCATCCCATATTGGATTCTAAGGTATTTATTTATTTATTTCAAATGGCAGGCTTTATGATATTTTCATTAGCCCTTAAACTTTGACTACAGCTTCCCCCAAGGGTGGGGGGGGTACATTTATAGCAGTTCATTAGCTGTCTTCTTGCTTTCCAGTATCTCTGGCTTTCCGTCGTTGCCTTTAGAGCTGGACATCGAATCAGGTGGGTCTTCTCCATTTCCTCCTGTAGATTACATGGGGGGGGGCATGTGGGTTGGGTGTATACTTCAAATCTGTGAAGGTGTTTTGCGAAGCAGTCGTGTCCGGTTGGGTTCTAAGGTTATGGCAATAATTG